GGGGGGAACGGAGCGAAGCACCTTCGGAACCAGGGGAAAGGGTCTCGTGGCCGCGCGCTTCCTGCGCGCCGCGCGCGGTCTATTCAGGGGCGCCAAGGACTGTTTCCCTTTACTGCGCGTTGCTCAGCTCGCACTTATGAAAAGTCCCAGGTTCGATTTTGGGTTTGGGGCCGGACACTGAATTGGCTTTTGAAACATTTCTCCTCGTTTTATTTCTTACTCAAACTCGGAAGACGATCCAGGAGATGCAGAGCAAATTACTTTTTCTTCCCACCTAAGTGGTTCACTTGGGGCTGATTATTTCCTGGGCTGTGGGCGTGTTTAAACTTTTCCTGCGAAGTCAGTACCACTTGAAAAAACAAGTGGAAAAAACAATTAAAACATTAAGACCTCTGGCTTTTACTCCCAATCTTCCTGTTTTTTGGAAAAGTTTTCTTTAAAAAAACATACTAGTATAATATGTAAATAAATTAGGTATTCCAAAATGATGGTTCCTAGAATTTCTTCAGGTTTGAAAAATCTGCTCTTTGAGGCCCATGATTAATTTTCATTTCTGTGTGTTACTGAAATTACCTGGAATTTGACACATCCAAAGAGAAACTTAAAACACAAAATTTGCCAAATATTCCCAGCCTCCCCAAATTCTTAAAATGCTCATTGATCTTAAAAGAAAAAAAGTAAAATAAAAGGAAGAAATTATTCTTATACTGAGCATTTGCATGACTCTTTACTACACCAATTTATTATTATTGTTTTAAATTTTAAAATGTGTCTGAGCAGTTGAAAACTCAGAGAATTTAGACAAACATATTCCAAGTCAAGATGCTTTCATCTATTTCACTTTACTTTTTGGTGACTTGAAAATTAGTAACTGCAAAATGAAACTGAAAAACCCAAGCATTGATGTTTTTATCCTTAAGTCAAAATTTTTTGACCCATGATAGCTTCAGCAGCCAGAACTCACACACACCTGAATCTACCACTTCTGGCAGAGAACACAGCACAGCCATTTCCTCTTTGCCTGCCCATCTATTTAATAGAAATATATTAAGAGTATACTTTGCCCTACAATATGTAAAGTACTAGGCTGGATAAGGAGAGCTGTTCAGTGTGCCTGTGTGGAACGTGTGTGTAAGGTTAACAGCTGACTAGGATAGTGAAATTTCAGCCTTTGCTGAAATGATAGAGCCAATGTATCAATCCTTACCTATAATTAATAGAGGCTTTTTTTAGACAATGTCTTAATCCCAAAGAGTGACTAATAATAGATTTTGGGAGAGAGGATACCTTTTCTCCCTTACATCACCCTTAAATTGCCCCTGTAGGAATGCAGCCCTGACCATCCCGTTCTTATCTGAGTTGTTTTCTTTTTTAGATGAAAAGGGTTATCAGAGTTCTCCATGACAATGGAGAGAAGTGAGAAGGACCAGAGCTGGACTCCAAAAAGGCACTGGAGAAAAGATAAAGGAAATCTCCAAATGGGATTCCAGGTTTCTGAGCATGGTTTCCATAAGGTTTCCTCTACATTCAATGGCATCTCTATTCTATTTATTTTGGATGATTAATTTGGGATTAATTCACTTTAAAATACTGAGACACCTCAAAAGTCTTCTCAAGCACGAACCAGAAAGTAAATACTTTCTAAAACCAAACAGTTCCTCTGCTGCCCCATCACTTCCTAATTCAATACTGTTTTGTGTTACAGGAAAGCAGTGTGAAGATGGTGATGTCAGAGAAAGGTTTACATGATATATGCCAGTCCATCATCCCCTCTGCATGTCTCTTAAAGTGTAAAGCACTCATCTTGGCTAATAAAGGGGCCCACAGGAAATAAGATTTCATTCTTGTTACTTAGTTACTGATTATTTTACTTAGAGCAATACTACTTTCTAAGACACCTTTTGTCCACTCAGAACAATTTAAAACATAACTTATTACAGAAGTGCCTCTCGGAGACTCATACAGATTAAGTCACTCATGTAAATTAAAGTGGACCACAGCCTTTAAAAAAATTGGGACAAACTCTAAATAAATCAAGGACAAGTAGTTTTTTTAATAAAACAAATTTCAAATTACTGCTTTTTCAGCCTAATATACATCCCATTCAGGTACACTCTATATAAAGGGACAAATGCAGTGTTACAAAAACATAAATTCAGAAAAAGAGCTGATATAATTTACATTAAAAATAAATTTTTGTGGTCTAGTTATTAAACCATTACCTGTTCTTAAAGAAAATACAGAAAAATAGAAGAAAAGAATAAGAAAATTAAAATATACTTATCCCACCACCCCCTGGGCCTATGGTAGGGCAGGAAACATGCACTTTAAGAAGCTGGCCAGCAGCAGGGGGGACAAATGTGGACAGTCCCAGGTGCCATGTGGTCTGAGGGGTGGCTGTGCCCAGACTTGACCCAGGTTGGTACCAGCAATGGCGGCAGCAGAAATAGCAGCCCCAGCAGAGAGAAGGGGCTCCTCAGGGAGGTAAACTGGCTTCCACTCCCATCCTCGGAATGTATCTCTCTGAATTCTGCCCAGAATTAAAATGAAAGAATATCAAAAATTATCTGTGATCTTATGCTTGCTGCCTCTCAGGCAATAAACTTTGTCAGCAAATTACTAGAAGATAAAAGCATGCACATGTACATTAGAATAAAGCATTATCAAGTACTCACTAGACTTCTTCAAAGAGTTCAGAATCTCCAGTTTTGAAAACTGCTGCACCATCATAAAGTCTTAGAAACAGACATTGAATTTTAAGATTAGTATATTCAACAGAAAAAAAGTATTTTCATATGAATGAAATTTTAATTACATATATTTTTATTTTACACTTTAATTATAAAGCCACGTTTAGTTTCTGGTACAACCTCCACAATATATAGGAAATGGCAGGGGAAAAAAACACTAAAATGCTGTTGTATCAATTTACATTTAAAATTAAATTCAGGCTTACAACAAACTGATTTGTATGAAGAGTTCAAAGTTTTTAGAAAAATTACCCCATCAGAATCATCAGCTCTAGAGTGCTATGACTTATATTTTGAAATAATTTCTCAGAAATTTATCCTAATGTTATTACAACCTATAAATACTCTTAACAGTTTTAGTAACAGTTGGATCAACAGAAAGATGCTTCTCAAAATTAAAAAGTATCAAAAGAATGTCTTGATTCATAGCATTTACTAAATTTCATGATGTAAAGATTCTTAGCATGGTCAATTTCATGCTACCCAGGTGACAAGTGACATCACTGAATGCAGACGTCATTCAGTGGCATAGAAGTATAACATTCTACATATTCTCACCAGATACAGTAGACATAAATAAGATCAAGAGTATAGTAACAGCAAAATATAATAATTAGAAAATGATGAGTTTTGAACACTTATCTTTGTTTTTAATCTACTTTATGTAATTACACGTTTCTAGAACAAAGTTTTTTTGTAACGGCCGTGTTTAACAACCAGCTTACAAATCTCCTGAATACCTAACAATCAGTTTTTGTGAATATCAGTTGACTCTCTGGCATACCCTCAGATGAAATAAGAAAATTATTAGCATTGTAATTTGGAGCTTGAGTGGTAAGTATGGGCAGAGGAAAGGGATCACTATGCTTGTATAGTGAGGAATTAGCCTTACCTGAAGAGAGGCCTGGCCTTTGCCTTGGCTACTGGAGGATAATCTTTAGGCCCTTGGAATTTCCTGACTGACAGGAGTGTCTCTGTTTGCCTAGGGCTTTGGCCACTGGACAGTGTAACAATGTAGTTTATGACAGGAACTTTGGGTCACACAATATCAGCTCTGATTTCTGGGGAACTTGCAACTAAAGATTTTAGCCTGAACTCTGGGAGAGGCTGACAATTAAGGTCAGTCATGCAGGCAGTATGTGATGAGCCCCAGTAAAAACTCTGGACACCAATGACCCAGGTGAGGTTTGCTGGTTGGCAATACACTGGGCATATTATCATACATTAATGCCATGCTAGAGACATGCCCTTGACTTCATGGAGAGAAGACAATGGACATTCTGTCTTTGGTACTTCTCCTGGACTTGGCCCTGGGCACTTCTTTCCTTGGCTGATTTTCATCTGTATCCCTTTTCTGTAATAATCCTTAACTGTGAGTATAACAGTTTTCAGTGAATTCTGTGAATCCTTCCAGAAGATTATCAAAACAGGGTGGTTTGGAAAACCCCCTAAGCTTGCAATTAGTCTCAGATGTGGGGTCAT